CTTCTCAAGTTTGTCAGATGAGATGACTGATCTCAGTAATTGTTTGTGAAGTCATTCATTTGTCCATGTGCAACCACTCATGTCAGTGTGTGTTTCACAGATGTATTAAGGAGACCGGTGCAAACCTCCATGGTAGTGACATGTAAGATGACGTAATACATTGTAGAATTTAATGTAATTCACTCTTTAACAGTGCATGCAACACTTTTACAAACTTGTGTTGTCTAGGTTCACTACAACTAGGTGCTTTGTTTTCTTATTAATACATCTATGTTTCAGCAGTCTGACAGCTGGATCAGGTGTCAGCTTAATATTCCTTGGAATCTACATTTGCACAGATAATGCCATGCACTTGGGGCAGCACAGTGGCACAGTGGTTAGCACTGTCACCTCACAGCAGGAAGACCCAGCCGACCCGGTTCTCCCTGTGTCTGCTTGGGTTCTCTCCAGGTACCCTGGCTTCCTCCCACAGTCCAAAGACATGTAGCTTGGGTTGACTGGTAACTCTAAATTGCCCCATTTAGATGTGATGGTAATAGGCTGGGAATGCATTATGCCAATGAGTGTACTCACAAAGATATGTGTGTTTCCGCACACCTGTGTGGGTAGTGACTGAGAGTCACAGTGGGAGGACACGTAGGTGGCGTGTGGGCTATATAACAAACAGCAAACAGAAGTGAGTGGGTGAGGATGAATGAGAGCTGACGTTTTGAGAAACAGCCAGAGAGCGATAACAGAGAAGCTTTGTCACAATCGCTGCAATGCATTCAGTGTTTCACAGGAGGAACATTTGTACACAACTACAAGCTCAATAATGTCAGTGGGATGTCAACTTTATTGGATGTGTAAGTAATCTATAACTTTCTTCAAAAGTCAAAAGTTTCCACTCACTAATCATCTTATCCCAGATAACGTTAGCTAAAAAATTACCAAAATCCCAAGTCTCAGCTGTACTTTAAGATTAATGCTAGCACAGGAAGCTGAAATGCTAAAGTTAGCATGTAGCATTAGCATACATAGTCAGCATTTTAGCATGTTACACCTAATACTGTGTTAGTGTGTTAGCACGATGCCTTCTGCATTAAGATCAGCTGAGCCCAGGTCCATCTGAGACTAACAACTAAACTGATTTAGCAAGGTCGAGACTGACCTGTCTTATTATTGCCACTGTTTACTGAGAATGAACCTCCTTTCCTGCCAGATGCTAGCATGACTTTAGACACTAAGGCACTAATTTAACGCAAATAAAACATAAATACTTTAAAAAATGTGACATTCAAAAATGAGGAAAGAGCAGCATAGCTAAACTTGCTTAAGACCAACTTAGAAAATGATCATATGTTAAAGAAAATCAATCAACTCAATTATAGCACCTCAAAATGTTTACAATACCTATAGTACCTAGAGTCATTTCAGATAGGCCACACCAATACATACACACACGTGTGTGTGTGTGTGTGTGTTCAGAAGCAGACCTGTGGCATAAGTGTGGGCTGTTTCCTCTCTAGGCGCTTCAAAGCCTCAAGAAGGAAAGGGGTTTCTCTGAAAGCCAGGAAGCCAGCTACGTAGGGGGCCGTCAGGGTCACCATCTGACTGTCCTCGTACAGCACCTGGCAGGAGAGGGCAGGAATTCTGCTTATTATTTTATGTAAGTATGGCTAAGACTCTCTGCTGAACAAAAAATGGTATTTCCCCATGGGTCCATCCACAGCTATCTGTGTCCTGTAAACTGCACTCGTATACTGACCCCCTACCTGCATGCTCTTTGTGATTTGCCCTTATCCCACTGGTTTTGAATATGGACATCTGTGGTTCTAAATGGAACTCAGAGAGCAAAACTGTCAGGGTTCAGGCGTTGACAAATGTGTCAACCCAAGAATATATGTAAGGGCAAGTCCATAGCTGTGCCAGATGATCACTAACATTCCCCACAAGGCACAAAATGAAACATCTGTTACTTCTTGTTGATTTAAGGCTGTGAGCATATTCTGAACATCACACTGGTTATTCTGTTTAGGTTCCCTGCTGTTTTCAGAAAGGGAAACTCATAAAATTATACAGCTTTCAAATAAATTACATTGTCTTGACTGCAAAAAAGTGTTTTCAGTGGGATTTTAATTGATGTTTGAATTCAAAGATGATAAACCATGGCTGGTAATCTTTAAACAAAACTATTTATATTTTCTAAGCTTATAATCCAATGTTCAAACTGATAATGACATCAGTGATTATCTTGCTGAAAACAAATTCTATACAGAAAATACCAATCATAGTCCATGTAAAGTTTAAGGTTACAAGCAATGATGGAAAGTAAGTACATTTACTCAAGTACAGTAATTAAATACTACAATTCTGAGGCATCTGTGTCAAGGTTACAGGCAGAGGGTCCACATGCAAGAGCCAGAAAAGGTAACTGACAATTTATTAGGTGACTCCAAAAATCACTGGAGGCAGGTATGACAGAGCAAGAACAATCAGAACTTTCTTTCTACATGGAAGGTAAGTATTTTCTTTTCATGGGTAACTTGAAGTTTAATACCTTGCTATGACAGAACATGAGATTAGGCGGTAATGCCACAAAAATACTCTGATTCACAGGTAGCTTGAGCTAGGTAACTTGGAAAGACAAAAAACAAACACAGAGGGAGGTAACACTACAGTACTTCACTAACGGGGCCTGTGTGATCACAGTGAAGGGAAGTTAAGAGTTCAGTCTAACAACACAGTCCTGAAAGCAGCAGCTTAAACAGTGAGGAGGCAGAGAGCACAGACCACTGGAGCGTGGGCAGAGCGTCTGAGTAAAGACACTGTTGAAGTTACACAGGGTATCTTTAAAGGGATACCAGACAGAGGCTTGGTGAGTTACCAGGCATAGGGGTGCAATGGTAACAGGAAGGAGCAGGAGCAAACGGTAGCACCAGCATGTCAGGAGAGCAAAAACCAGAGCGAGGTGAGTATCCAGAGTATCCAGGTGTGACATGGGTGGAGGCTAGATGACACACTGACAACGGGCTGAGGTGATTATGAAGGCCAGGCAGAGGTAGTGAGCAACAGATGTACTGAATTAGAGTTATTGTAATCATGGGCACAGTGAAGCCGGGGCAGCGGCGAGTTGTTTGAGATGGCGGATATCCATCAGAATAAAAGTCTAGAACAGGAAGAACTTTGAGAATATTGTGGTGCTAATACGTTTATACTTTTAATCAAGTAACATTTTGAAAGCAGGACTTTTTTGTGTTTTTTACACTGTATTGCTACTTTTACTTAAGCAGAAAATCTGAGTACTTCTTCCACCACTATTTACAGGTATGGTCATGCATATGCTATTTGTCAGCAGCTGATAATACACAGTTAAATGTGCCAGAGAATGGAAGCTCAGTATTAAGTGATGTCTACCCATTATTTGGCCCCAAAGAGGGGGGTATCAGGCCATGCTGTCAACAACCTTCAGGGTATAGTAGAAGTCTACTTCTCAACAATATTCAGAGGTGGGACAAAGTAAGTGTTTTGCAAGTCATAAGCAAGTGTTTGGTCTTGGCTCTGAAGTCTGCAACCAAGTTCCAATTTAAGTGCAAGTCCTTCATTTCAAGTCCTGAACCAGCCATTGTGCACACATGTATTGCCAAAACACGCTAAAAGTAACAGCATGTTACATTCAAATAAACTTCATAACCCTTAATCAAAATGCCTAGTACTACTACAATCATATATAACTACTGAGCTAAATGTTTTGTACAGTGGTATTCACTTCATGACCACATAACAGGCTTAACAGCCAAATATCCAAATTACAGATATCATCTGTTTGTCTCCTCACTGGCACTGCCTACCGCACCTTCCCCTTCTGCTTGTGCAATGTGTCTGGTTGCTGCCGGATCGATTCAAACTAAAAAATGAAGTAGTGATTCATGCACACTCTGAGTCAAAGGTCCAAGTAAAATCTCAAATCACTGCTGTAACAGACAGTGATTCTTTTTCATTTTATTAGATCCAGTCTAAAGTCTAACTCATGTTAGACCCCTTGACTCTGCTGCCATAGAGGGAGATACCTTTATTTTAAATATGAAACCCAGCCTGTTATAAAGTTGAGATAAAGGTTCTCTGAGAGCGGCTGAACAGCTTCCCGCACCTCTGTACCTCTTTACATTTCCACCCATCTACTTTGGGCAACAGCACTGCATGTAAACATGTCTCCCATGATGACCCTGTTACTGCAGTATCACGCCGAGTATCAGCAGGGTTTAGAAGGCTAGAAACCCCAAGGACCCATTACTCAAGCTTTCTGACCAGTCTGAAAATCTTTTTCTACTCACACCGGGCCTCTTGCAAGAACCAGCTGTACAAACAGTTTTGTTCTAAAGCGGCACATGTATGAGAGATTTGAGAGAATTTATGGCTTTACAAATCTTCTTGAACTTAACATGTTCTCCTAGGTAGGAACAAAATTCACAAGCAGTCCAGACCTGTTGAAAACTCCCTCCTCATCTGGCAGCCTCAAGGTCTCTCTGCAGGCCTGTGTCCAGTACCTGACAGCGGAACATCTCCTACTGTAGCCTGGAATATCTCTACTCTGATATAACAACCTTCAGGGTATAGTAGAAGTCTACTTCTCAACAATATTCAGAGGTGGGACAAAGTAAGTGTTTTGCAAGTCATAAGCAAGTGTTTGGTCTTGGCTCTGAAGTCTGCAACCAAGTTCCAATTTAAGTGCAAGTCCTTCATTTCAAGTCCTGAACCAGCCATTGTGCACACATGTATTGCCAAAACACGCTAAAAGTAACAGCATGTTACATTCAAATAAACTTCATAACCCTTAATCAAAATGCCTAGTACTACTACAATCATATATAACTACTGAGCTAAATGTTTTGTACAGTGGTATTCACTTCATGACCACATAACAGGCTTAACAGCCAAATATCCAAATTACAGATATCATCTGTTTGTCTCCTCACTGGCACTGCCTACCGCACCTTCCCCTTCTGCTTGTGCAATGTGTCTGGTTGCTGCCGGATCGATTCAAACTAAAAAATGAAGTAGTGATTCATGCACACTCTGAGTCAAAGGTCCAAGTAAAATCTCAAATCACTGCTGTAACAGACAGTGATTCTTTTTCATTTTATTAGATCCAGTCTAAAGTCTAACTCATGTTAGACCCCTTGACTCTGCTGCCATAGAGGGAGATACCTTTATTTTAAATATGAAACCCAGCCTGTTATAAAGTTGAGATAAAGGTTCTCTGAGAGCGGCTGAACAGCTTCCCGCACCTCTGTACCTCTTTACATTTCCACCCATCTACTTTGGGCAACAGCACTGCATGTAAACATGTCTCCCATGATGACCCTGTTACTGCAGTATCACGCCGAGTATCAGCAGGGTTTAGAAGGCTAGAAACCCCAAGGACCCATTACTCAAGCTTTCTGACCAGTCTGAAAATCTTTTTCTACTCACACCGGGCCTCTTGCAAGAACCAGCTGTACAAACAGTTTTGTTCTAAAGCGGCACATGTATGAGAGATTTGAGAGAATTTATGGCTTTACAAATCTTCTTGAACTTAACATGTTCTCCTAGGTAGGAACAAAATTCACAAGCAGTCCAGACCTGTTGAAAACTCCCTCCTCATCTGGCAGCCTCAAGGTCTCTCTGCAGGCCTGTGTCCAGTACCTGACAGCGGAACATCTCCTACTGTAGCCTGGAATATCTCTACTCTGATATCTCAGTGACTGTCGTCCCATTCAGCACCTCACTGATTAGTCATTTGATAGAAAGAGATCTTTAGAGTCTGGTTTCATGCAGCCTCAACGTTCTCTCTGTCACAGTACGGCTCAGCTCTGACAACATGTCACTGACGCATGTGCTATTAACATTTTATTAACTCTTGTTTGACATTTTTGTGAATGACATTTTCCCACAAATGAAGCGGAACAGGTAGCCTCACAAGGCGAATTTAGTGCCACTGATTACGCTAATGATCTAATTTCAGGAAGTGCTACTGTATTTATCAGTAGCACACATCTCTAGTCTGAAACTAGAGATTTACAACAAGCTTATCCAGTTACAAGAGTTTGGTGAATCTGACTTGGAACACTCATACACCAAGCCTTTGAAAACAGTCAGAAAAATTTGGGGCAAAAATAGCTAAATGTTCTTGCATGAGGACCCTTGAGGAGTGCCAAGGTCTGAGATGCTGTAAAAACAAACACAACACAAACACATTTTGTCAAAGCCCACAGCAGTGGCTACAAATAAAACATGCAGAAGCTCTCGACTGTGCATGAGACGAGCCCACGGAGCTTCATCACAAGCCTGTTTTCTGAATCAGAAATATTAACCATTATTCAGGATATGTCAATGACATATTGTTGACTTCACTGACCTTCTGCCTCTGTAAAACAGCAGTGATAAAACACTGCAGCTTGTTTCCAGTGCTGTTGCCAAGAATCTCAATAATGAGACTTGTTCATGCTGAAAAGGTATTTATTCAAACGTACAATTACAATGTTGTTACACTCCTGTGTTAGCTTATTTAAATAAAAAACTGCACAATAAAGCACAAAACCTCCTGTTTTGCCTGTTCTTCTCCCTTAAACCGAGCAGCAGTGGACACGCTGTACATCATGTTTCCAGTATTACTTTGTGGCACAAATGGCCTTAGGTGGCAGCGTTAGAGTAAACTGAGAGCAAGCAGAGAACGTAATCACGTTATTGGACAACTTTTCTAAGCAGCATCTCATTAGTCTCGCTGAGTCCATATATCACCAAAGAACTCTGACAAATGTCATTAATTATAATGGGCTACAGTGTGGAATGGGAAGGTGCCAGAGCCATGTTAATGCACAGATAAAGAGCAGGAATCGTTGTGAAAGGCTACACAGAAAAGTAAATGAAATGAAAATTGGACCTGCCAAGGTCACTTTAACATCAGTCGCTTTAACAGGAGCTGATCTTGAGCTACAGTATATTAACCCACAGCCTTATTAACACTGCTTACTCGCCCTGACAAGTCAGGGAAGAACAAAAAATGAATCAACTACAGTTTGGATCCTTTTTTCTTTTGACAGAAGATTTAAGGAACCCTCACTTCAATACATTTCACAAATAACAATCCCTTTGTGATACTGCAGGGTACATTTACTATTACAGTGCATCTGGTATTTCTATACAAATACATTAGAACCACAGTGCTGTCACCAGCTGTAGCAGCAACATGTGTCTTGGTCTTCTAATGCTTCACTTCTCCTGCCCCTCTTAAACCCAAATACAACTTTGCATGATGAGAAAATGACCTAAAATAACATAAATATGGGTTAAATGGGTAGTGGGCTGAACCCAAAGCTGATACAATCAATATTTTATAATAACAATGGGTCAAATAACAAGGCATAATGTGAATAGTGTTGGTCATAGTGATGAACCTGCAGAAAATTAACACCCTTCCCCTTTCCCCTCATCCTTTTAACAACTTTCAGCTCACTGTTTTGGTTTTGTAGCCCCAACTTTACTAGTTTTGTTCACCCTCACTGCTAATTCCAGCAGCAGGCAGCTGTTTTAAACAAACACACACACAGAACATTACCTGCTTAGCACCAAACAGCAGACAAAGTTACTGGATAGCTAGTCAACACTGTGGAGCATTTAGCAGCTAACAAACTAAAATAATGGTCAATACTGGACTTTGATTCATTACAAATTCAGTAAAAAATAAAGTGAAATATTCAGTCTTCAGCTTCTTGTGCAAAAGAACAACATCACATGGAGATTTATTTATGCTGTACAAGCCAAATAGATTTTTACAGTTGTTTGCCCTGTTGTAAGTTAATATGGATCTGATGTAACAACCTATGATAAATAAAAAAGAAAGCAACAGCTCTAAGAGAAATTTAAAAAAGAAAGTAGTTGCTCCCTGATACTTTAAAGTACTGTTGGGGGTGTCATAGTTAGAAGCCAGTATTCTAAGGTGATGAGAAAACATGTGAAGTTGGTGAGAGTGCATTTAAGGGCAGACAGCTGGATTCAGACAAGGTTTCAGCTGCACTTACTACAAAGCTTTCTAAGGCCAAGCAGAAATTCTGACTGTATATTACATCATACCTTTTCATTAGGTGTGTAAAACATATTTTGGGAACATCTTTCTTGTGTCTACTGGGAAAATGTGCCTTTTCTGACAAGTGCTGCTCTTCTGTCCTTTCGCCACTAGGGGTCAACAAAGTTCACAGATTCCCCAGATGATGTGTGATTACTGTGTGTAGTGAGGGGCTCACCTCCAGGTCGGGGTAGCTGAGCACCACGAGCTGGGCACAGGCATTGACATTATCCCCTTTGATGAAGGAGACGTCCACTCCTCCGACTCTCCTCAGGCCCGAGAAGTCAGGTTCCCTTTGCCAGTCCTCAGTGTCCTCCTCCACCACCTGCTGTCTCAGAAGGGTCTGCTCACTGCATCAGGACACAAGCAGATAACAATGATTGACAATTATCTTTTACTACAACAATTCAAGGAGCATTAATAAGATTTTATATATAGTCTCATAAATTAAGTGAAAACAGGACAGGACACGGTGTCTCTCAGCCACACTACCCTTCTCCATTACACTCTGTTACCTACAGCACTTCTGTTGTTATTCCAGCTAGGCTACCCTGTGGTGTCAAGTCAGGTCAGTAAATTTGCCCTGCCTATCAAAGAAAAAGAAAATGTTTAAAAGTAATGTTTTTTGACCTGAAAATAGTCATTTCCAACAGCCAGTCATGGAGGACCTTTTGTCTGACTGTGTCCCAAACAGTCCCATCCTCTACACCCTGTTCACCCACGACTGTGTCGACTCCCACAAAGACAACATCATCCTGAAGTTCGCGGACGACACCGCAGTGATAGGTCGCATCACTGGTGGGGACGAAGCAGCCTACAGGAGGGAGGTGGCCGGTCTGGTGTCATGGTGCAAGGACAATAATCTCAGCCTCAACATGGACAAGACAAAGGAGATGATAGTGGACATGAGGAAGGAGAGGAGATCTCATCGGCCACTGTTCATCTGGAGGCTCAAAGTGGAGAGGGTGAGCAGCTTCAAATTAGGAAAGCTGCCTCCATCCTCAAAGATCCAACACACCCCCAGCACGGACTGTTCGCCTCCCTACCCTCTGGCTGGAGGTTCAGAAGTGTGAAATGCAGGACCTCCAGACTGAAAAACTCTTTCTTTCCCTCTGCCATCAGACTCCTAAACAGCTGAGGAGTTTATTACCAGGAAATATGTCATGTACTGTTTACATTCTCAATTTGCACATGCATAATTGCACATTGACTGTTGACTGCTGCGCATGCTGCTCCCATGCAGCATACATTCTCTTATTATATTCTTATATATTTTTATTATATTGCTGCATTTGCTTCTTAAAGTGTCTTAGATTTAGTGTTACTTATTTATCTACTTTATATTTCATTTGTATTTTGTGGCATTCATGTGGACGGCAAAGTAAGAATTTCATTGTACAGGGAAACACGTTTCCTGACTGTGCATATGACAAATTAACACTTTGACCTTGACCTTGGCTGCCGGACTGACGAGGTCAAGTTCTTTTGCACGGAGAGAATGGAACAAAGAAACAGCAAAGACCAGGGTTAACACCAGTTTGACTTTTTAAGATGGTGCATGTTAAAAGCAGCCAAAGGACTCAGATTTGATTTAGATCTGGTTTTCTTCCTTTTGGATGTGTTAGCATCTAAAGCTAACATGTTTGTTTTAATAACATTACCGACCTAGAATGGTCATGATATTGCCTTTGCATTGATTAATATGGATTTAATTTGGGAGTAACCTGAGTTTTGTGTCATGTTAGTGCTTAGTATCACATTAACAGTAACCACAGCGTCCTACTGAAGTGCCATATTTACTCGTTAGTCAGCTAATGCTAGACTGGAGGCTCTGTTATGTTCTGTTGTCATGATACGGGATGTGTAGTTTATGTCATTGCTAGGAAACAGAATGTGGTGGGTGGGTCAAGGAGAAAGAAACAATAAGATCAAACTTTTCTGACCCCAGGATGAAAAATTAGCAACACACAGGTAGAGTATGTTTTCTGATGCTGCTAAAGATTTGTTTACATTAATAATGTAAATGTAAACAGAAGTGCAATTATTTTCAATTATAGCGAGTTAAAAAAATGTGTAAATGTTGAACTTCATCCAAACAGTCCAACCGGGCTGTAGCTACAACTGACGACACTGAGGTTATAACTTCATCAGTGTTTTTTGAAATTCAAGGGTGATTTTCTTCATCAAAATGTTATATCTGGCTCTACACCATAATATAAGGAGAGAACTGGCAAAAGATGATTGAAAAGTTAAAAGACTTAATAAACTTAATAACTTAATTTTATTTTAAGATGTGGCCACAATGAAATTTGATCACAAAAAGTGCTCCAATACATTTACTGTATGTAAGAAACAATAAGATCAAACTTTTCTGACCCCAGGATGAAAAATTAGCAACACACATCTGTAATCAATACTTAGCCTACAGCATTCAGGACTGCAACTAGCAATTATTTTTATAACTGTAATATTTAATGCTTATAAGCTTTTTTTATACTCTAGTTTATTACACTGTGTCACTTGCTGACAACTCTTTACTTACAATAAAGAATTCAAGCATCCACAATTAGGTGCAACTAAAATGTCCAGTCTGTGAGCTACACAATTATTGTTTCAACAAAAATCATAGTGAAATCAAAGTGCACATGCACATTGATACTAGAATACATTTTCATTGTCAGTTTTTATTTTATTTTTACTTACCAAACCTTTTTACTATTCTACAATGTCTTCTACACAAAACTTAAGACTCTACTCAGTAGAGACGAGCAGGGGGAATGAGGTAAATGCTGTAACTGATGATAACTCAAGAGGTTTAGTTATATGTTGGTTGAAACGTAAAACAGGGCAGGGACACAGTCAGGTGTAGCAGCATCTGTCAGCACCTCTTGCTCCACTTAGTTTGTCAACAACAAGCTTCTACTTCAGGTTAGCAAATGATAACAAATAGCTGCACTGCTGGAAATAAGCTCCTGTGACAGGCTACTAACTGTAGCTACTTCCCGTAGTTTACTGAATCAAGCTCAGGTATGTAAATGACAGAAAAGCCCGCTGACCTTTCCCATTGCTTGACCAAATCTTCAGCAGGCGGAGCAGACATTAGTTTAGTAAGAGCTCACACCTAGGTGCTGAAAAGAGTTTATAAAGAGAAAAGCAACTGCCAGACCAACGTGAAGAACAGACTGTCTGTTTTGCTTCCGTCTTATGACATCACTGTTAGGGGGCGGAGTCACTAGCTTACGTCAGTATGGCGTTGGGAGTTATACGAGTAAATACTGCTATCTAGTGGTTGAAATTGCAAATTACATATAGAAATGAACGACTTCTGAAATACAGTATTGTATTTTACTCTACTGTACTTACTGTAATATGCATCTTGGCGATTCCTCGTTAAATATATGTCAATTACAAGTAAGCCATTTTTTCCAAAAGTTTGTGAGTGACAATAACTATAGCCAGTAGGAAGAAGTATCCATGCATTGCAATTGTAGTAAGAATTTATTTTCCTGGAGGATCCATTTATCAGCGGCAGCATGCAGCTAAATACATTTACTCAACTACTGTACCTAAGCACAATTTTGTGTTTAAATATGCTACTTTATACTTCATTACATTTAAGAGGCAAATATTGTACTTCTCTCTGGGTACTCCGGCTTCCTCCCACAATCCAAAGACACACAGCTTAGGTTGATTGGTGACTCTGATTTGCCCCTAGGAGTGAGTATGAGTGTGTGTGGTTGTCTGTCTCTTAAGTGTCAGCCCTGTGACAGACTGGGGCGACCTGTCCAGGGTGTACCCCGCCTCTCACCCAGTGTCAGCTGGGATTGGCTCCAGCTCCCTATGACCCTGTTAAGGGATAAGAGGTATAGATAATGGATGGATGGATATTGTACTTCTTACTGCACTACTTTTACTGATTAAGATTACTGCTTACAGGTTGCTTTGCTAATTCAAATGATTAATGTATTCAACAAGTAAATACTGAGGATTAAACTACCTAGGCGTATGTAAAATAATTAAAATTAACCCCATCTTTAGCATTTGCAACATTATTGATGCAAATGAATGCACCAATTATAATTTAATAACTATAACTCACCAGACAAAGGAGGTGGCCTAATGCCTGATGAAAGAAGCACTTACTGTATAACACCCCTAAAGATAAAACCTCTAACAAAACAGTGTGCTAGATAAAAGAGGACCAAGGGATGACACCAAGTCACATACGAGCTCATCTAAGCCACCTTCATCACTGAAAACTGTGACTCAAATGATCAAGTCATAAAATATGTAGCCTAATGTGTAAGCTACAGAATAGACAGTCCAACACATATTTCTGTGACATAGAACCTACAATAGCAGCAGAACGTAATTTAAACCTTTGGTATATCTAAATTATATGTGAAAGTGGGGCACCTCAGGGCTCTCCTCACAGTTCTCTGCTCTTCTTTTTATCTCACCTCTTGGCCAAACTGTATTTGGTTATGGAATTAATTTGCTCTGCTAAACCAATAATCACAAATCATAATCACACCACTTATAAGCATTTCGAACTGTAAAAGCTGGGTGTTGTGTAACTTCCTGCTTCTAGATTCTGGGCACTGTGAGCTGCTGCTCCACACAGACATCAAATGAGTCAGACAGAACTGTTTCTTGACAACTGTGTGATCTCAGCCAAGAATCTTGCTTTTACTTTTGAGCATTCAATATCTTTGATCTGGGAATTAAAAACAACATCAACAGGTGTCACTTGCTGACAACTCTTTACTTACAATAAAGAATTCAAGCATCCACAATTAGGTGCAACTAAAATGTCCAGTCTGTGAGCTACACAATTATTGTTTCAACAAAAATCATAGTGAAATCAAAGTGCACATGCACATTGATACTAGAATACATTTTCATTGTCAGTTTTTATTTTATTTTTACTTACCAAACCTTTTTACTATTCTACAATGTCTTCTACACAAAACTTAAGACTCTACTCAGTAGAGACGAGCAGGGGGAATGAGGTAAATGCTGTAACTGATGATAACTCAAGAGGTTTAGTTATATGTTGGTTGAAACGTAAAACAGGGCAGGGACACAGTCAGGTGTAGCAGCATCTGTCAGCACCTCTTGCTCCACTTAGTTTGTCAACAACAAGCTTCTACTTCAGGTTAGCAAATGATAACAAATAGCTGCACTGCTGGAAATAAGCTCCTGTGACAGGCTACTAACTGTAGCTACTTCCCGTAGTTTACTGAATCAAGCTCAGGTATGTAAATGACAGAAAAGCCCGCTGACCTTTCCCATTGCTTGACCAAATCTTCAGCAGGCGGAGCAGACATTAGTTTAGTAAGAGCTCACACCTAGGTGCTGAAAAGAGTTTATAAAGAGAAAAGCAACTGCCAGACCAACGTGAAGAACAGACTGTCTGTTTTGCTTCCGTCTTATGACATCACTGTTAGGGGGCGGAGTCACTAGCTTACGTCAGTATGGCGTTGGGAGTTATACGAGTAAATACTGCTATCTAGTGGTTGAAATTGCAAATTACATATAGAAATGAACGACTTCTGAAATACAGTATTGTATTTTACTCTACTGTACTTACTGTAATATGCATCTTGGCGATTCCTCGTTAAATATATGTCAATTACAAGTAAGCCATTTTTTCCAAAAGTTTGTGAGTGACAATAACTATAGCCAGTAGGAAGAAGTATCCATGCATTGCAATTGTAGTAAGAATTTATTTTCCTGGAGGATCCATTTATCAGCGGCAGCATGCAGCTAAATACATTTACTCAACTACTGTACCTAAGCACAATTTTGTGTTTAAATATGCTACTTTATACTTCATTACATTTAAGAGGCAAATATTGTACTTCTCTCTGGGTACTCCGGCTTCCTCCCACAATCCAAAGACACACAGCTTAGGTTGATTGGTGACTCTGATTTGCCCCTAGGAGTGAGTATGAGTGTGTGTGGTTGTCTGTCTCTTAAGTGTCAGCCCTGTGACAGACTGGGGCGACCTGTCCAGGGTGTACCCCGCCTCTCACCCAGTGTCAGCTGGGATTGGCTCCAGCTCCCTATGACCCTGTTAAGGGATAAGAGGTATAGATAATGGATGGATGGATATTGTACTTCTTACTGCACTACTTTTACTGATTAAGATTACTGCTTACAGGTTGCTTTGCTAATTCAAATGATTAATGTATTCAACAAGTAAATACTGAGGATTAAACTACCTAGGCGTATGTAAAATAATTAAAATTAACCCCATCTTTAGCATTTGCAACATTATTGATGCAAATGAATGCACCAATTATAATTTAATAACTATAACTCACCAGACAAAGGAGGTGGCCTAATGCCTGATGAAAGAAGCACTTACTGTATAACACCCCTAAAGATAAAACCTCTAACAAAACAGTGTGCTAGATAAAAGAGGACCAAGGGATGACACCAAGTCACATACGAGCTCATCTAAGCCACCTTCATCACTGAAAACTGTGACTCAAATGATCAAGTCATAAAATATGTAGCCTAATGTGTAAGCTACAGAATAGACAGTCCAACACATATTTCTGTGACATAGAACCTACAATAGCAGCAGAACGTAATTTAAACCTTTGGTATATCTAAATTATATGTGAAAGTGGGGCACCTCAGGGCTCTCCTCACAGTTCTCTGCTCTTCTTTTTATCTCACCTCTTGGCCAAACTGTATTTGGTTATGGAATTAATTTGCTCTGCTAAACCAATAATCACAAATCATAATCACACCACTTATAAGCATTTCGAACTGTAAAAGCTGGGTGTTGTGTAACTTCCTGCTTCTAGATTCTGGGCACTGTGAGCTGCTGCTCCACACAGACATCAAATGAGTCAGACAGAACTGTTTCTTGACAACTGTGTGATCTCAGCCAAGAATCTTGCTTTTACTTTTGAGCATTCAATATCTTTGATCTGGGAATTAAAAACAACATCAACAGCTGTGACATTGCTTTTGTCCACCAGAATACAGTAACAATGATTTGTCCTCTCCCACAGAACTGATGGTACCTGGAGGGAACATTTCAGCTTTAAAAACAAAACAAATAAAAAATAATAATAATAATTTGCAATCAGGAAATTCAGGTGAGTGGGACCATCTTCTCTGATTATTACTGAAGCCAGTGATGTGGCAAACATGAAAACAATGATAAGACCAAACATCTTCCAAGTTTGGTGATTGACGCATTGTTATTTTTAGTCAATTATAAACCAGTTACAGTGCCTTGCGAAAGTATTCGGCCCCCTTGAACTTTGCGACCTTTTGCCACATTTCAGGCTTCAAACATAAAGATATAAAACTGTAATTTTTTGTGAAGAATCAACAACAAGTGGGACACAATCATGAAGTGGAACGAAATTTATTGGATATTTCAAACTTTTTTAACAAATAAAAAAACTGAAAAATTGGGCGTGCAAAATTATTCAACCCCCTTAAGTTAATACGTTGTAGCGCCACCTTTTGCTGCGATTACAGCTGTAAGTCACTTGGGGTATGTCTCTATCAGTTTTGCACATCGAGAGACTGAAATTTTTGCCCATGCCTCCTTGCAAAACAGCTCGAGCTCAGTGAGGTTGGATGGAGAGCGTTTGTGAACAGCAGTTGTCAGTTCTTTCCACAGATTCTCGATTGGATTCAGGTCTGGACTTTGACTTGGCCATTCTAACACCTGGATATGTTTATTTGTATTTATTAGTCATTTAGGTCAACATTGGATCATTCAGAGATCCTCACTGAACTTCTGGAGAGAGTTTGCTGCACTGAAAGTAAAGGGGCTGAATAATTTTGCACGCCCAATTTTTCAGTTTTTTATTTGTTAAAAGAGTTTGAAATATCCAATAAATTTCGTTCCACTTCATGATTGTGTCCCACTTGTTGTTGATTCTTCACAAAAAAATTACAGTTTTATATCTTTATGTTGTAAGCCTGAAATGTGGCAAAAGGTCGCAAAGTTCAAGGGGGCCGAATACTTTCGCAAGGCACTGTAATTCTTCCGTGTGTCTAATATTATGGATAGTGTTATGCATTTAACCAGATGCAACATTGCCGCTATAGGCTCCTCACTTTAAATTAAACTAAAAAAAAAACA